CAAATTTCACTTTGAAGCCTTTTTCATTCCCAGAAATGTAATGTCCTTTGTTTAACAAACACTGCTTCACTGACCCTTAGTCCATGGACTACCCTAATGGACTAACCAAATGGACTACCCTAAAATGGATTACCCCTGAAAAATACTATTTCAGGTGAGTGGTATGTTAAGCTGCTGCAATTATATACTTACACTGCACGGAGGATGCTTTTCTTTTCATTCCACATCACCTTCAGCCGCCATTTTGAACAACTATACTGAATAAAACAACCACTGAACAGAAAACGCGTAGATTCAAGCCAACCGAAGTGTCAGCAGAACATGCCAGCATGGACAGCTCAGGTAAAACCTTCAATAACAAAATCTGTTTCCATCTTATAACTTGAGTTACAACTGGACTTTGATGAGTTTTGTGAAGTGACATACGTGGAAAAAGCAAGGTTCAACGATTGAGGTTCAGAGTCCCTGCCTTATGCTTCCCTGCCTTTCCTTTATAAGCTTGTAAATAACAAAGTGAAAAAAAATTAGCCACACAAAAAAGCGCCAGGCGACTGTATTTCACAATCCATAGTTAAATGGTGATTAAAAAGTTATTCAAAATGGCAGCCGAAGGTGATGCAGAACAAAAAGAAAAGCATCCTCCCTACAGTGTAAGTATACAATCGCAGCTTCTTAACATACCACTCATCTGAAATAGTATTTTTTAGGGGTAGTCCATTTTAGGTAGTCCATTTGGGTAGTCCATTAGGGTAGTCCATGGACTAGGGGTCAGTGTTTTGTCCATCACGGAGAATAACCCCTCTGGCAAAATGCCCCACCCACAGCCGTGTATCAACATGCACACATGCCGGCATAAATTACAGATCAGGGAAGAACAGTGAATCTTGCTCAAAACCTAAAAAATCCATTTCAGAATGACTGGGCAATAGATGAATTTCACTGCTTACAGTCCGCAAAGAAAACCTCTCCTACCTACCGCTTTCCGGGGAGGAAATGCACGACCTTCGATCTTTTTTCCAAACGTTTAAGGCTATGGTCACTATGCGAACCAGAGAGAACTGATCAGTTCGTTGTTCGTCTTTGCCTTTTCCTTCTTAGAAGTTTACTTCGTCTGAAAAAAAAAAAAAACAATAAAACTTGTCTGGTTCATTCTAACGAATTGAGGAAAGAACAAAGAGTTGCAAAACATGCCGGTATCGCGCAAAACAGCTGACTTGGAATGCTGTTTGTGTGAAAACGTAAAAAAACGTTCAAGCTCGCAAATAATATACGGCCTTACTAAATTGTGTCATGTCTGCATCATGTGAGCAAGTATCATAATATAAAATGCGCCGTATAACACACAAAACGCCTGCAAACGAAAAATCATGTGGACCATACCTAAACTTTTCTTCACTTTCAACTTGAAATTCGAGACGCGAGGCATTCGGTATGCGGGCTTCGTTTAAAATGTTTCTTTCCTCGGGCCCTGTACGGTTTACAGTGAGCTCTGCAAACAAAAAAACTGACTTCAGAACAATTTACCACACACAGAACATAATTGGTCGAAGAAATTGATGTGATTCGTTCAGCTCCAATACATGGACTTCGTTTACCCAGTCAGCTAACAGGATAAGGTACATTTGTTTGGTTTCGACGTCTATTGACCGAGAAAACATCAATGCCGTTTGCAGAAAATAAAACAAGCACTTAAAATCTGACGATATTGATTCATGCAATCAAAATTAACAGAACAGATGATCAGATACACTTACGTTCCCGCCATCAGCTGGAAAGCAACGACCACACAAAAGCTACAAGTCAACTCAACTCAACTCAACTCGAGTGTGAAGTCGTCACGCTGTGAGTCACGTGACAATTTTTTTTCTGGGGCGTTCCTGGGGCCACCTTCAACCTCGTCCCCAGGGCACTTCGGCAATGTTGCTGCAACGAACGAGGGGTCGTACGAGGAAACACTTATGTTGCCCCTGATAGGTCCTGATAGGTCCTGATAGGCTGGCCTGGCTGGGTAGCTAGGGCCCAGAAGAGCTCTCGCCGAATAAAATAATGAAAGAACTAAGCAGCATTACTTCGAAGAGTGGAGTAAATTTCGATGGACTAAACGGATTATTACCGGTAAGTGAAGAGCACAAATGAGGACCTTTGACTAATCTTCTGCCCGGGAGTGGGACCCTCGTGTAAAAAGGACCGGGCTGTTCCTCGGAAATTTTGAAAAGGACCCCTTAGAGGTACCAAGATCCTGTTTTGCGGGCGGGGCTTGAAATGTTTTTCACCCCTAATAGGTACCAATTCTAAAACAACACATTAACGTTTATCGGCTCAATACCTTAAGGGGGTATGGTACCCTAAAATATGGCGATGTTCATGAAAAATTCAATTTCTTGGAAATACCAGACTTAAGACCATTGAGGACTTGTCAAAAACATTCCGAAACGATCTTGCCGAATTTTCTTCTAGATGAGTGTGAAATTTAAGGAAAGTACACAGTGATATAAGTTTTTTCACGTAACAACGACTGTTTGCTATAAGAACGTGACCAAAAATATAGTTTAGTTTTAACATATACGAACGAAACTATTTAGAAAAAACTTTAAAGACATGAACAACTCGATTGGTATAATTAGTTGTGAAAAGTTTTGCCTTGAATTGCCATCACAGGCTTATTCATTCCCCTCATGAAAAGGAATATTTCCCACAACTGCGGTAACTTTTTACAAAATAGAACAACCATTGCACCCCTCCCCCGAGATCCAATCTGCACCCCCAGCTATTTTTGGCTTGTTAAATGCTTAATACTTCGTGTAAGAAACTTAAAGTGCAGTTTTCTCAAATGTTTACTTTTGTACCGACTGACTTCGCGCCAAGTTTCTACTTTGCAAGGTTTTTAGGTAGAATTCCCGAAACTTGGGCTCGTCAGAGACCATTAGTGTCGTGATGATATAAACCAAAAAAATCACAACATTTTAACGTCTGTCACGTGACATGAGATGATTTGTCCACTGGGTGTGGTATAAAATAAAGTTTTTTCCAAATAAAGTCTGTAAAGCACTGAAAATAAGAGTTATTGCACAGAACAAAGCAGAAACTTACACGATATGCTTATTTGACAGTCAATCTTGTTTGTAAAAGAGCAGGAAGTGTTGGCGTCAATACTGTAAAACAGTACCTCAAAAGGCTGTGGCTGGTTTCCATAGCAACTATTTTGAGTAAAACTCTAGAAATTTAATTTCTCTTCTTGAGTGCAATGGCACACAATTGATCTTTCTTCACCATATTTAAACAAGCTTTTTGGTCCATTTGAGGGTACCTGGTCTCCTTCGTAGCCGTTATTAGGGTCGTCACGCAACGCTCCTCCCCACTAACGTTATTAGCGGGGAGGAACGTTGCGTGACGACCCTAATAACGGCTGCGAAGGAGACTAGAGGGTACCATACCACCTTAAAAGGTACCGCGAAAGCTCCTGTTGTGAGCCCTTTTGAGGTTGAACGCTCTAAAAGGTACCAGATCTGCTTTTTAACCCCTGAAAAAACGCCACGAGCACCCCGGTCCTTTTTATAAGGGAGTCCTTCCCCCGGGTTTCTGCCGCTAGCACGATGCTGCTTTCGATTCACCTGAAACGCCGAGTCACTTATCTTACAAAAAAGCTCCCGTGGAAGAAGCAGAAACAAGAAAGCTTTTAATCAATTACGCAAACATCACACCCCTGACCACAGGTAGCCCAAGCTCGTTTAGCGTACGTCACAGTCGAGTCGTCACAGTGGAACCCCATTATACAGTCACCAACGGACCATGAAAATTTGGCCGCTTTATTGGGGTGGCTGTATGAAAGGGGTAGGATCAAATTTCATGACTGGTCTAAATTGAGATATATCACAGCTATATTACAATTGCACTTCTAAGCAACTGGAATGCAGATATAACTAGCTTTTAAAAATTGAAACTTGAATAGCTACATACAATATTAACAATGGCTTGAGTGACCGTATAAACGGGGTAAAAATTATATAGGATTAAACAGGTTGGGATTTCAGAATGTGGCCTTTGGCCTTTCTCACGAGGACTATAAGAAAATGTTTGGGCATTTCGTCGGGACAAAAAAAAGTGGTCGTAATAACGATATCATCTCATTCACGAGGTGACTGTAAGGCGGGGATCCACTGTAGATAGTTTAAGCGTGAAATAATAATAACAATAATAATAATAATAATAGTAATAATAATAATAATAATAGTAATAATAATAATAATAGTAATAATAATAATAATAATAGTAATAATCATAATAATAGCGTTTTTGAGCGCATTTAGAAAACTAAATGAGCTTACATGACTATATAAGAAAAAATAAATTAGTTGAAACCTACACAATATTTCTTATAACAGTAATAAGTAAAATAAATGAAATATTTGTCAATTTTGTCACGAGAATGAATTTTCCATCCCTACAGTTACATTACATTTACACTTCAACTACTGGCACCCTGCAGTGATCTCGCGAGCGGTACGCTTTACTACAGACTCAATCTTCTCATGCCGTAAAACAAGTTAGTTATTGCTCAGTTGCGGCGGATCTTTTCGTTTGACTCTGCTAGAAGTCATATATAATAGGTGATATATGTTACTTGATCGCCATTGTTAATTTAAACACTTCCAGCAAAGGAGAATACTCGTCCTGAGTCTCTATAGGCAATTTTCCACCGAACATTCTTCTCAGGAAAAATCTCGAAATTTTTTATTGATCAGACTCAGCTAGGGAAACAAGTTTCAAGAGTCCAGAAATTCAAAATCTAATTCTTTAGGATCTTGTACGAATCTGAAACTACTCATTACCCAGAATTTTTGACTATGATCACCTGTGTCTTTCAAGACAAAAATAACTTCCTGATCTCTCTTTTTTCACAAGGACAGTTTAAGAAACTGACACTTTCGATCTTAAGCTGGTCGGTCGTAAATGAAACATAGTTCTTAATTTTAACTCCATGTAATAGTCTTCTTTAATATTATCACTTTCCAGCTACACTTTCCAAGGAATATGACAATGACCTAGTAAAACGAAAAGCAAAGTGCTTCTCTGATTGCTTCCTTCGCTGCTTGTTTTACACCACGAATGTTCCAGCAGTAAAGAAACGAATTTAACGAAGAGTTTAAGTAAAGCAAAGTCACTGTTAATTCCCATGCAAAAAAATTGAAGGAGATAGTCCTTGTTACTTAGCAGAACTGCCATAACACCAAATGAAAGGTAACAAACAGCTAATGTTAACTGCACCTACAGTGCACTGGACACTGCCTTCTTGTATCGCTCTATGTTTAGTGGAATTGCTTGACTCGACTGTTGTAGCTGCACATGGTCTTGTACTTGAGTTTGACGATGTTGGAGTATGTGGAAAATTTTTGAGTACGATAAGATTGAAATTACTAGACGTGACGGTATGACTATTTTTCCATCCCAAATCGTTAATAGATGATTTCGGGGATACAGCTTAGCAACAACAGTGGGGATAACCCAAAAGTTTGCTACAAAGAGGTATGCTTGCTTCAAAGTTTTAACTTGTCTGTATCTCAGCCCCAAAAACAGGGCGAGAAGTCTGTCCACGCTTATCGCTGTCATTGTTAGGAAAGAAACTCCAGACAAAATGTCGCTGGCTATATAAGGGGAATCTCTCGCGTTTTTCGTGAGCCAGGGACATGATATAGGCAGCCTTCAGAGGCTCTGCAATGACACCAACACAGAGATCGGTCGTTGCCAAACATCTATACAAGAGTTTAGACGGCGAATGAAGGGGAGACTCTCTTCGAAGAGCAATCGGGATGAGACCATTTCCAAGAAATGCGGTTATGGAAGGAATAGAGTTTAACGATGAAAGAAGTATCAAATGTTGGTGACCTCCCTGGGCGAACACTGGAGTTGTTGAAACGCTTGAATTTGTTTTCCTTCTTGAGTTAAGTTTAGTTTCGCCATTCGTTTGCCGCAATGTCAATGACAGTTGTAGTTTTAACGACATATGTTTCAACAGTCCTCAGTGCTGTGAATTTACAAAGCAGCTTCGGCATGATGGACCATAACGGTGAGTAATGTGCGCTTTCCGAGCGTTCTATTTGTCCCAAAATATGCAAATTATTATTAATCAGCGATTAAGAAGGGTAATATGCATAACTAAGGAAACATACGAGACGTGTTTCAGTTGAGAACAAGCTTTTGTACTATGATTTGTTGGTGACTGACATATCTACAGGCTATGAAGAAAACGCAGGTTGATGAAACATTAGTCGGTGAAGATACTTTCTCATGAGACTAATCTAAATCAAAAGATCAGTATTCAATACAGCAAGGATCTATATCAAGCACTGACAGAATTAAATAAATAAAACTTCTCGTGAAAAGGAATAAGATATTGGACAAAGGATTGAAACTGAACGTTTGGGTGATCGATTTTCTGTTTCATTGAATATTAGGTAGCTCAAAACAGTTTCCAGCAATTAGATTTTGATGGGATGTTATAAC